AGACAATGGACATGTCTCCAGTCCATCACAGGAAGACAATGGACATGTCTCCAGTCCATCACAGGGAGACAATGGACATGTCTGCAGTCCATCACAGGGAGACAATGGACATGTCTCCAGTCCATCAAAGGAATACAATGGACATGTCTGCAGTTCATCACAAGAAGACAATGGACATGTCAGCAGTCCATCAAAGGAAGAAATGGACATGTCTCCAGTTCATAAAAGGAAGACAATGGACATGTCTCCAGTCCATCATAGGAAGACAATGGACATGTCTGCAGTCTATCAAAGGAAGACAATGGACATGTCTGCAGTCATCACAGGAGGACAATGGACATGTCTGCAGTCCATCAAAGGAAGACAATGGACATGTCTCCAGTCCATCAAAGGAAGACAATGGACATGTCTGCAGTCCATCAAAGGAAGACAATGGACATGTCTCCAGCCCATTACAGGAAGACAATGGACATGTCAGCAGTCCATCAAAGGAAGACAATGGACATGTCTGCTGTCCCTCAAAGTAAGACAATGGACAGGTCTCCAGTCTATCACAGGAAGACATAGAGACAAACGAGACAAACAACCACTCTCTCACTCTCACCTAGAGACAGTTTAGAGTCACCATCAGTCTAACATGCATGTTTTTGGTCTGTGGGAGGAAACTGGAGTACCCAGAGAAAACCCACGCATGCACGGAGAGAACATGCAAACTCCACCCAGAAAGACCCCCGCTGGGATTTAAACTGGTGACCTGCTTGCTGAGAGGCGGCAGCTCTACTAACTGCACCACCGTGCTGCCCACATGGTTGTTATAATTCAGAGCAAGGATTAAAAACTTTTTTTAACATTAAATCTGGTGAATTTGAGAGTTTTATAACTTGTCACATGATAGAAACAGCTGATGCAGCATGAGATTTAAAATTTATTTAAAATATAATCCCATTTTTGAAAAGCTTTATGCCAAAAGTAAATAAAAGCAGAATGCAATGATTTATAAATCCAATCCATGTCATCCACATGTGAACACATCAAAAGTTCAGACGGGGGCAACTGAAGGTTTTAGAAATCAGAAACTGCATTTTGTAACGGACTGGGCTGATGGGCAGCAGGTGAGCAAGAGGACAACAAATCTAAAGTGATAATCTGAAGGTTCAGGGAGGAATCTGTATCGCTGACGTCCTAATGTCAATAAAACATATTTCTAGTTATTTTAAGTTTTTTAAACTTTGCTCACTGACGCTCTGGAAACCTGCCTCTTGTTTTCTTCTGTTTCAAACAACAACAAACTGAAATTCAGGAAAAACAAATTTCCATTTTAGTGTGAAGTTGAACTTTGAGCACTGAGCAGCTCCTCGTGAGGTCCGGTCCGACAAAGTGAAGTGAATCGAACCAGATGCTTTAAAGCTGTTAGAGAGTCAGCAAACATTTCTGCAGATGTGATGAACAATATGAGGTGTGAGGTCTGGCTGACGCTCTCCGGTTCCAGATCCAGGGGCTGACGGTCCGAAACAAGAACCTGCTGGGTCGTTGGTGTGAGGCGGGACATTGTTTGGGTCAGCTGTGTTTCACCACATGGTTTGAAGCTCCAAGGTTCTGAAAAGTTTTGTGCAAAAAAAAAAAAAAACTTGCCTGGAAAAGTTTCCCAACGAAGAAAAGATCCAGAAAATGAACTCTGATCATTTCATTACAAAGAGTAAGTGTTGGTGCTGAAAGCTCGTCCACTCACATGGTTTCTACGACGTGCTGCTGCAGGACGCCCCGAACGCTCAATATCCGTCAGTTTGTAGTAAAGTCTGCTTGCTGTACATCAGATCACATCCAGCAGCCGACGAATGAAATGCATGCAAATCCTGAATACGGGTTTTTATCTTGAACGAGGCTTCATGCCAAGATTTTCATGTGAAAACATTCAGCTTCTTGTTTACGAGGTGACACTGAGTCAGCACATGCTTAGAAGACTGTTCGTGCAGAATGTGGACGTTGCTTTAGATCATTACGTCCTTTACAACTCAACCAGTGAGCGAGCAGCTGTAGTTTGAAGAAACGGGCTCACGACGTGAATCAGCAGCTGGAGAACATCACACGAGAGGCTTCAGCACGCCAAACTGCAAAAGGTTCGAGCACCGAGGGTCAAAGCCAGCTTGTTTTTTGGTGCGAGGTATTCAAGTGGGCAGGAGTTA